TAACCAAACAAATCTGAAAATGTGTAATGTTTGTTTCAGTTTGACCATTTGTAAAGAGATGATGGGAGGGTGGCTGCGGTTCTCATGAAACCTGTATAATTTCTTAAGCTAATTTCCACTCTCTGATAAGCCCAGAAGGCTCTCCAAGGTTTTTTTCTTCTTTCGACTACGAGTTAGCCTCAAAATATGTCTTAGCCTGGTCAGTTCTACACCAGAAGCAAAGGAAATGCAAACTGCTGTCAAAGCTTGCTGCCAAAGGGCCTTGATCATGATGGATTTGACATAAACGGTGAGCAGGGCTGTTGTTACAAAGCACAGTCCCACAGTATGTGAATCTTAGTGGATTGGTTCTCAAAAACTTCCAGTAAACAGTGAGTGGAAAATACAAATACATACATGTATTTAACAACGGCAGGAAAAAGAATATTTTTAATGAGAAAAAGATGGTGGCTTTACTTCAAATGGAATTGAAAATCTCATTGTAGCTGATAGCTGTATCTTTTATCTTGAGGACCTTTGAGTAGAAATTTTTTATGGACCAGGAAAATGCCTCTGAGAAGAAGATCTCTGGGATGTTGCTGTTTTCTCTTCTGTGATGTAAGGCAGGAGCACACAAGTCAGCATTTTTCTTCTTAAGACGCTTACATTAATTTATTTTGACAGCATTTTCAACCCGTGTAGAGCTTAGGACTATCTGTTTGTGCTACCTTCCTATTTTAGACAAGTGATGCTTTGCGTGAGACTGTTAATTTGGCAAAGGGCAGGAGTTCACATTTGGTTTTCATAGACTGATAGATTTAAAGGCCAGAAGAGACCATTATGATCATCTAGTCTGACCTCCCACTTCAATCAGGGCACAAGCCTCACGCAATCGTTACTGCAACAAGATCGTGACTTCAGTGTGAGCTAGACAGCAGCTTAAGGAAGATATCCAGTCCTGAGTTGCCTTCCTCTAAATTTTAGAATTAATTTTTCCAACTTCAGTCTCCAGTCCCTTGATCATATCATTTTATAGGAATGCAGAGTCAAAATGAAACATCATCCTCAACTGTCCTTTTCAATTACATGTCTGTGATTCCATCTACTTGGATTTATCCCAGGATTATAGGAATATTTATGTCATGTAGTTGTCAGACCATGCTAAATGGATGGTAAGTATTGTTTTCATTTTATGCTGGATATTGTAAAAAGAGTTGCAAAGCACACATGGAATGTCAAGATCTTGGGCTAGGTCTGCATTGGTAAGTCAGGAAGCATTCAGCCTGACTTTTGGCTTTTGTGAGCAGTTTGCATCCCCTGAGTTAACATGCATGAAACCTTTTCACATAGCAAATGCAAAGCAACTGTTGTGCTTCTTTTAAAAACCAAACACTGCATTCCTAATATCAGTTTTTAGTAGACAGGTAACAATGAAAATTGGCAAGTGACAGAAGAGATAAGAAAAGGAAAGTGGAAGTGTTTAAGAAATTATGATTTATCTGGAACATATCTAAAAATGCAGTTGCAAGTTGGTTCACCTAGGAGAATATTAGGTGGGAGGAAGGAACATACTTTGAATAAGTTCATTCTGCCACCCATTTTCATATGTGGTCATCTTAAAGCAAGAGCACATTCTCTCCAGACTTAAAACCTGGCTAAAGCTTGCTATTGCAGGAATTTTGGTTGACAGCGCTAGATTGTTTTTTCAAGCTGACCAGAGTTCCAAATTTGGTCTTAAAGTTTTACACAACCCGGGAAGTTGCAGGTGTGGATGTGAAATGAGTATGTGTCACTGGATATTCTGAGCAAGTTCAAGTACTTATGAAATTTTCAGGCCCTTTCTGGATCCTCCCATACAGAGTAAAAAAGGAGTTCAGGGCTTGAACTCTGCTTCTGGTACATAATATCATGTGGTAACCAAAGTGGTGCTATAGTCTGTATGGGAATAGAATAGAGGGAAGAACTAGAGTATGACATTACCAAGAGAAAATCTGAGTAAACACACTGCAAGAATTGATGGAGTTTTATGACCTTTAAAACTTTCAAGTCAGGCCAGTTTGAAGAACTGCCATTCAGTACTTGCTCTAGTGAAAGTAGAAAGATTAACATTAAATTCAGAAAGCAGCTGCCAGGTCCTTGCTATTTAGGAAAGCATTAATATAAACTGATGTTCTTCAGCAGAAGTTTATCACAGTTCTTGACTTAAAAAGACCCCATACTGAACTGCAAGGAAACAAAATTCCAGGCTTTCCAGTTTGAAAATAACATTTCAAGGAGCTAGAGAAAAAAAACCTTAACTCTAATTTTTGCAAGGCAACTCACTTGATTAGTAGTTATCCTCCATTTTGACAATTGGAAAATGTGAAGGACATCAAGAGACCTGTGTGAACCCATAATAATATATATGGGTTTATGTTTTTATTCACTGGGTAGAGAACTTAGTCTAAAATTTTGTTCTTTATCCAGGATTTGAAAATATCCTGGATATAATAATCTATATATAATCCATAGGTAAATAAATTTCTCTTTCAGAGAAAAATATTTACTCGTCATGTATTAATGGCCTTAGTTGAAGACACTTTCAGGTTATTTAAAATCACTGCAGCATCCTATAACAGCTCTAAGAAAACTTGTTCTTCATAGTATGTTTAGGGGCCAACTGTCTGCATTTATTGTGTCCAGTAATGCATTTGAAATTAGGCAATCTCAATCAAGAATATACATTTTTCATTATAGATCTTTTGGTATAAAATATGAGATCATATACAATGAAAAATGAATACGTGGGCAATAAGAAGGTATATAAGTAATATATATATATATAATTTCAAGAGTATTTGCACATTTGGACCGGTTTTTAAAGACAATGGTTATCTGATACTGTAACTGTATATGGTATTTTAACTTTACATGAGAGTCTGAGCTCTACAAAAGGACATCTAACAGCACAGCAAACATGCCTTTGCAATTAAATGATCATTCACAGTACAGCTTATGAAAATACGAGATACAGCTCAAACTATTCAGTAAAGAATGCACATTCTTGTTACTTTTTGTTTTAATGGGCTATAAAATAAATGCAGTGTAGAAGGCATTTTTATAGCCAGAGCTTGTGATACACGATATGCATGGGTTGTGCTGGGAAAAAAAATGCTAAAATTATGTACTTCAAACACCCATCATGCTTCTCAGAATGGTTATATATGTAAAGCCATCAAAATTTTGTGCTATCTATCTTTAATGCAACAGGACTGATTGCTCCTCTGGTGTTTACAGCATCAGCCCTGGTAAATGCCAAAATATGTTTGGTTGAGCAGTGAAATACTGCCAGCTTCAGTTGTTTGTACCCATAGTGAGAGGGAGTGAGGCGACTGTGTAGCTGCAGAAAAGCAGGACAAAGAACAAAATGTTTGAAAACAACATGAAATAGGCAAGAAGTAACAGTGCCAGAAAACACACTTGCATGCACACACACATTAAATGCATGCACAGAGGTGATAAGGGTGGAGGAGGCAAAAAAGAATGAGAAAAGGCAGGTGAGTTAATGGATCAGGGGGGAAAGTTGGAGTGTGAAGAAGCCTATTAATAAAAGATGAGGAAGGAAGAAATTAATGAGAACTCTGCAGAGACACTACAGCTCTTGAGAGAAGCACAGGACCCCGTTCTGGTGTTCTTGTTCATTGTTTCCTCGGTACTGGGGACTGCTTGGAGGACAAAGTACAATTAAAAGGCAGGGACTGTCAGCCTGTGAGGAACACTAAGCAAGGGACTAGACTCATGCACAGAAGTGAATAACTACGAGGAACAGCTTGTCACGCCAGCAGTCCCCAGGATATTCAGAATGAAATATATGCCCCTAAAGTTACTGAAATAAATGTTTACAGTCAGGACTCTATTTAATTGCTTGCTTCTTTTTTTTTCCTTCTTTTTTATGTACTCAAGTTATATTTACAGGGCTTCTTTAGCTCGGTGGAAACCACATTTCACGCAAACCCAGCACTTTTTCATGCCCATGTGCTTCCAAAAGATAGAATTTCATGTAAAACAGCAGCCGTCACGGGTTGTATATAAAAAAGTGAGGAGCTCATAGTTGCAGGTTCCATGGTGCACCAAGAGTCCTGGTCCCAAGGCGGCCAGACCAGGGAGCAGATCACAACCAACCTCCTCCTCCTCATGTGCTTGTATTTCCTTCCTGTGGATATGAACGGGAGAAAGGAGGCTTTATTTCTAGACCTTATAGACATGCAATTGTACACTGGCCAGAATGTGGCCTCAGATTTGGAAGCTGGAAAGCACTCAGATCTCCCACAATTGCAGATATTTATTGCAGCCATTATCAGCTGATAACACAGACACAGGCCACAGGTTCTCTCTTAAGAACAATTAGTGAAGGCACAGTCTGTGAGTAGATTTCATTCTTATGTATAGAAAGGATGTTTTTCTTTAGAATTATTTATTGAAAAATATAACTGTACTGAACTTGGGAATTAAATCATTTAGATCAATTCTCCCCAGCACTGCAAATCCCAAGAAAATGCTGGCCCATCTACTGGGTCCTTACAAGTACAGTCCCAAGGGGGCAGATGCTTGGAGACCTCAGTTAGCACAAGGCTTTTAAACTCAGACTGAGAGCAGGAAATAATGAGTCAAAAAGTGTTCTCAGCCAAAATAAACCACTTTTTTGTGTGTGTGAAACATTTTTAAACTCTCTGCTGTTCTCCTAACTCTTTTTTTTTTGCTCTTTAAAACTAATTGCTAAGTCTAGTTTTAAGTAGGTCCTTAGAAACTATTTTCTAGGACTTGCTCCTATCTTGAACTTTTCTGCACTCTTGTCTTGTCATACTTGATGCATGGACAAAACATCTAATGAAGCATACCAAAATGGAAGTCTCATGTTCATACCTGTGTAATTACAGAATTCAGATCCTGACAACATATCAATTTTTCAACTGTTCACCTAAACATTCTTCACAATGCTAACGTGTTCTTTTCTTTTCTTTTCTTTTCTTTTGTTTTGACAGCAAAATTTGGAGAGCAATCTCACCAACCTTATTAAGAGGAATACTGAACTGGAAACTCTTTTGGCGAAACTCATTCAGACTTGTCAACACGTAGAAGTGAGTACTGATCTCCATTTGAAATACCTGTAAACTTAATTACATTCACTTCTAACATTCAAGAAATTTAAACAAAAACAAAACAAGCTAAAAAAACCCCACACCAAATGCCGAACTAAATTATAATATTGGTAAATTGATTTGGAGCTTTCTGTTTGATAAATGGTATTCTCAATATAGATTACCTCCTTTACATTCCTCCCTGTCTGCTGTTAATTGTGGTATGTTTGTATGGTGCCCACCACTGCTGTACCTGAGCACATTACTCACGATCTGTAACATGTTTATCTTTTTGGGTCTTTTGTGAGGTAGAGTAATATTTACAGGTGGGACACTAAGGCAAAGAAATAGTAACACCCAGATCCACAGCAATACTTAGGTTTCTATCAGCTACTGATTATTTTTTTAAATCAGAATTAAGTATCTAAATACATAGGTGGAGTCAAAAGTCACACATTAAATATATTTATCTTTAGAAGAAGAATGTTTATAGGCCTTTCAGTTGCCTCAGTTGCATATTCCACTTTGAGTATCACAGAAAATCTTTAGCAAAAAGGTACCTGAATCTATATTTCCCCCAAATCTGGGGGATTTTTTTAGATGTCCCTGTGGGGTTTGCTGCTCTACATGCAAATTAAAATAATGATAGACTAACTCAGCAATGGGAACTGACATAGGAGGAGATCAGACTCCAAAATAGACTCTTTTTTTTAGCAAAACTTCTTTTTACTTTTTGCTACACTATAATACCTTTTCAGTTCCTTATAGTACATTCAGGTCAACAAAGTCAAAACCAGTATGAACAAAAAGCTTCCATGTCATGCCAAACTTGCAAAAGACAACATGAGTTTATGCTTTCTGCCAGTAATTTTTATTCAAACATTCTCATGGCATCAATGCTTTATCACCAGTGCTTTCCTTGTCATCAGTCTCAGCCATGAGTCCCAGGTGGCACACCAAATGCAAAACATTTTCAGCTCTCCTCCACGTAAACTGTGGCTGAGAAACACTGGAAGACTAGGAAAGGCTCAATATCGTGAGGCACATGTGTTTGTCGACACATATCCTGGATTCACTGAGATACAGCAAGTTCATCATTTGCAGTGCTATCAGTTTTTGGAAGTTCTAAACTCAATTTAAGACGGTGTGGGAAAGTTAATGGGGGAGAAATCAGAAAAGCCGCCACAACATAAATACTGTTGATTTAGGAGAGCAACAAAAGTCAGACCTCAGTCACAGAGAAAAGCTATTTTCAGTTGAACAGCTAATTACTACTCCAATTAGCCGGGAAAATTTATTTTCCCTGTGAAAAATGGTAGGGTTTTTGTTTGCATTACAATTTTGTTTGTTAACAGGCTTTTGCGTGGGACCATTTCATTCCTGACTGCATTGCAGTTCTTGTGGCTGCCTCGTTTGTTCAGAGAAGGGCACGCTGTATGTTCCTAGCAGACAGGTAGCATTAAATAATACTAGTGTGTAGAAAAGGTCTTTCCCTTTGAATATGGTTTTGTACAGATGTGAAAGGAAGCCAGGTTTCTTTACCAGTGTTACATGGGGAGTAGGAAGGTAGCATTATTACAGAGCTTTTGAAACATGGATATAATTTAGGAGAAAGTTAACTGTGACATACACTGCCGTGACACGGCCACCTGCTGGGTCTGCAGAAAGGCACTCCTTTTTAGAGAAGCCTCTTTTTCTTCCTTATAAAGTCCCATGGAAGTTCTCCATAGGGCTGCTTCTTTTCTTTCTTTATCAAGCTGAACTTCAGTCACATAATTAAGCCCAAGAGCAACTTTTACTTGTGAACAGATTCAAAGTCATATCTTGAAAATTTGCATGTGCTTAAGTACCTTGTGGCCTGTGGTAATGACACATGCTGCAGAAAAAAAGGAAATAAAAATCCACCCAAAAATCCAAAGCAAAGCAAAGCAAACCAAACAACCCCAACACTCCTCTTTCAAAGAGACAGTCTCATCCATTTTTCTATCTGCTATACATCTGTGGATCCTCGCTGCTTTCATGGTGCTCAACAAAACCATTAAAGTCTATCCACTGTATCAGACATGAATTGAAGGGTTTGAGTTCTTTGTATATGCAGCAGCAACATCAGGCAGAACAACTAAAGTAGCAGCTGGAATGAGAGACAGAGATGAGCCACGGTTGCTTTCTCTGTGTATAAAACTCAGAGCAAAACCCATGAAGCAGATGGGCCCAGGACAGCATAAGGCCTCTTCTTCATTAGTGGCCTATATCCAAGATGGGCTAGATCTGGGAAATTTAAAACTGCTCCTCCATCTCCTCTGCAATTCTGAATATATTAAAACTCTAAGGTTTAGTATTACAAAATATCCAACTTGTTCAACTGGTAACAGATGCGCTACTGTCCCTGGAGCCTTGTTTTAGAAAATTTCTCTGTAGACATAAAGAAATAGCAGCAAAGTTGTTCATTAATTCCTACCACGTTTTATTCATCAAATTAGCCTAATTAGCATTTAAATTAGCTAAATATTAAGAAATGAGCTTCAGTCAAAACCCTAGACCTAGGCTGCACTGGAAATTGGGCAAGTGGGGATGTGGAAGTAAACTTTAAAGCTATCTCTGTTTCTCAGAGCTCTGTGGAAACTTCAGATAGGGTGTGAATACCTCCAACATTAGAGAAGCTGAGGCTTAGATAGATTATTTTTTTTAAGTCAGTATGCTCTCTTTCTTTGTGCTTCTTTGTGACAGAAATTAATCCCAAACCAGGTAGCTGAATGAAGTAAACAGTATATTGGTCGTAGCGTTGTTACAAAATTAAAATTACAAAATATTAGGAAAAGAAAAGTTGATGTTTCCAATGACTGTATTAGTGCTGCCATACAAACTCACTCAAAGGTTGAAACCAAACAGGTAGTTCATTTTATAGGAAATGTTTTCTTTTTCATTTTTTGATACAATATATTACAGATAATGCTATAAAATATATTGTACACAATTTGTAAATGTGTAAAAATATAGGTAGTACACACTTGCATGTGTCAAATCTGTTCACACATGCAAGTTATGGATACTATAGTATATTTTGGAGTATAATGGCTATACTAGTCTTCTGTCAGTAATGAAGTGGTAAATTTTTATGAAAGAAGAAACAGCCGTGCATCTAAGTGTCTCTTTTATTTTGGGTGCAGGATATCCATTATTAAAATGCTGCTTTTATATACTTTGATTTTCCTTACCTAATTTTAAATAATGTTAATAATGTTATTCTAATGTCAATTTAGATGTAGGGAAGTTTAAATCCAAATGGAAGAAAAAAAAAGAAAAGAAAAGAAGCTTTGGGCTTCATAATTTGAGCTTTGACAAACAGGGAAGGAAAGGAAATTAATATTCCTTGTGTTAAAGTTACCAAGTTTTTATTAAGGGATATATAAAAGGAGCATATATATAAATATATAAACTTAAAAAAAGTTATGCTAATTAACATCTATTTGTAGAATTAACAATAACATTTTCTAAAGCCTTTGTCACATCATAAACAATATTACATGAAAAATGAAAAAGGAATGTCTTTTTTGGCTTTTGATATGGAGCAGAAGCTGATGTCTCTGAAAACGAACAACAAACAGGCTCTGTGTCCTTTGAATAAATGAATCTTTGCCAGCCAAACCAAGTGTTGTCACAGAGCCACTGTTTCTCATCAACCAAGTGAGCTGTCAATGGCTTCCCAGCAACCAGCTTCACTGCAGATTAATTATCCACCCATATATTCTTTACATCAGGCAATTGTAACTTCATCAATAGCAAAGGCTAAACCTCAGTCTCTCTCTGTTTTAAAACTAATGTTTATTCCCTTCTGAAAGAGAGTTTTATTCACGTTTTCGCTCCCATGAGCAGGCAAGGACTGTTTGGGGATGTTCGCTAGCTAGAAGCTGGACCGGGGGACCAGCCACCGGGGAGGGGGGATTTGGGGCTGTCTTTCATCATAGCAACAGAGGCATAAATCTTGCCTATTTTTGATGTAGTTTATCAATTTATTACAAGATTCAACCTGATGTGGAACCTGATCTTGGGAGACTCAAGAAGTCTACTTCCAGTCTTGCATTCCCATGAGTGGTTCTGGGCATATTGGCAGGAAAACTTCTGTGAATAAATCAAGCCAAATGTATAATCTTTGGTGGTCTAAGTACAGAAGAGATATTGTTAAGCATTTTATAATAATAATAGTTTTAATATCTGAATGTCTGATTTCATGTCTAATAGGAAAGTATAGTCTGTGCTGATACTTACTTTATGGTGAAACTTAATTTAAAAAGCCCCATTTTCTCAAAGGAGCAACACCCTGAAAAGTGAATGCTTGAGAATATAACACTCCTTTCTGTCCCAAATCTTTCTGTTTCATTAGAAGCACCCTGGCACACTGTTTTTTCTTGTCTTTCAGACACATCCCTAACATACTTTTTGTTTTACTTTATTTTTTCCCTCTTTCCACTCTCCCTTCTCCTGTAATCCCATCTGTCAATTTTTGGTTTTGCAGAAACTCTGAAGGCTGTTAATCGGGAAACTTTTGTTTTCCTTCCTTGGAGACGATGAGAGGTATACAACCTCACCCCTTTGGTCAGGCTGCATTCTGAGGAGCACGCCCTCACTTGGGGCAGCTCAGCTGCTTGGCCCCAGTGATCCGGCTCTGCTCGTCACTCTATTTAGGGAAGGCAGCTGTGGCTCCCTCCCCAGGGACAGCAGGCTTGGCTGCTTCAGATGATAAACTGCTTCATAGGATAAAATGTAGTTTTCTTCACAAACTGAGAAAACTGAATAGAAATGGCTACTAATCTGAAGTAAGTTTATTTGTAGTTCTAGTTCACAGCATTCACACATTTCATATTATCTGTAGAAAAGTTTTTTAAAAGCATTAAAAACCATCCTAGAGAATTTTATCTTTAAATTCTGTGGACATTCACCCAATGAGAGAGCCCTCTAGCATGTGGCTAAATCAGCATATGGCTGTTAAAAGTCCATAAAAA